CCGCTGCAATGGAGCGCTCGCCGGTGCTCCCTCCCGCCGCTGCAATGGAGAGCTCACCGCCGCTCTCGACGCTGCAATGGAGTGCTCGCCGGTGCTCCCTCCCGCCGCTGAAATGGAGAGCTCACCGCCGCTCTCGACGCTGCAATGGAGCGCTCGACGGAAGTCCCGGAGCTGAGATGCATCTCCCCGGAGCTGCAATGGAGCGATCCGGCGCTCCCTCCCGATGTTGCAATGGAGAGCTCGCCGTCGCTCCCAACGCTGCAATGGAGTACTCAACGGAGGTCTGAAAGCTGCGATGCATCTCACCGGAGCTGCAATGGAGCTCTCCGGTGCTCCCTCCCGGTGTTGCAAGGGAGAGCTCACCGGCGCTCCCGACACTGCAATGGAGCGCTTACCGGAAGTCTCGGAGCTGCGATGCATCTCACCGGAGCTGCAATGAAGAGCTCGCCGGCAGTGTCCCGGTGTTGTGTTGAAACGGCTAGGTGGCGTTCTTCCTAGGAGGGGGGCATGTGCTGCTGGAGAGCGATGTAGGATCCCGCAAGAGGCCAAATCGACTGTCATCATGGTGCGCGTCTAATGGCCCTGGAGGCGGCTTATGTTCCCACAAATCAGTCGAATGATTTGTAGCACTCGCCATTCTATTATGCGGTTCAACACATATGCCTTGTCACCGGTTCTATCTATCCTGTCTTAATGGTGATTTTTTGTTCCAGCCACCACCGTCATGATAACCAAATCAGAGGGCTCGCTATCAAATTCTTTTAAATTTCAACGATAAAATCAATAAAACTAGGCTTTGTCACAGACATAAAGGCTGACTGGCTGAAGGTCGTCTAAAGAAAGCAAGCTCCAAAGCATGTTCCATGATCCATCACAGCCAAGCAAGCCCCAACAAGGAAACGGTGTTAGAACGTTCATCACTACGAAGACGAGTTCTCTTTGGCAGCTCACACAGTTGGACACAAGCCATCATAAGACCCCAAAATAGCAACATGCGTTTCTGGACAGTCAACATTCATCAGGAATACATCACAGGCAAGCAACAACAATGGAAGCTCACATTGCAACATGCGTTTGGAAAGAAGGAGAGTTCACTCATTGAGGTTTCCAAACAGGACAGCCAGCATTCATCGTAAATCCATGAACAGTGCAAATCTTCTCAATTTCCTCTCTTGGAAGACAAATCTTCGCAGCTCTGTTTCCTTTCAGAACATTACAAGCATAACCGAAACCTGCATGAGTGAATGGCAAAGTTCACTGACTTGATGAGGGACTGGAGCACAGGAATTATCGTTGCTATGACTTCAGTCAAACTTCTAATTAACACACAGAATTCGTGGTTCACATCTTTATGACCTCATTCATGGCACCACAAGCAAACATGATTATCTTCATGACAGAGGGTTGCCAAATATTCAAACAATTAGGTGCATTATAAGAGACTGCAAAATAATCCAAGATAATCAAGACAAGTTATCTTGCAAAACCATTCACGGATTTACGGCAGACAGCTACATCATGCCCATAATAAAGCTTTGATCGTTACGTTTCCAAATAATCAAAGAAAGTTGGAAAGACCAGCAGACCGCATCTTCTTACCTTTAGCTGAGGCTGGAACCTGTGCACACAAAATTAGAACTTGTACAAGTATTCAAACAACACAATCAACTCGGGAGGATTATCAAAATATATGGGATATTTTGCAGAATATAATAGTTCATTTCGACCATCAGACAGCTTTTGCATAAAAATGGAAAGTTTTCATGGACAAGGGCACCCATACACTACAGAGCAGGAACCATAGCTCAAGTGAAGAATAAGATACTCAGACGTTAGTTTTCATAAGTGGAATCCGAATGGCAGCAAATTCAATAAAAATGAGTGTAATATTGTAAATTAACCCAAACTGATATGGTATAATTTTGGACAGGTTTTACCAGTTAGATAAATGTACTACACTGTTTCTCACGAATGTAGTTTCTATGTTTCTTCCACATACATTCAAATAAATAATTAGTTATTTCAAGTTCGAGGTTCTCTTTTGCCCCGTTTATAAGTAAAACTACACTGTTTTTCACGAATGTAGTTTCTACGTTTCTTCCACATACATTCAAATAAATAATTAGTTATTTTAAGTTTGAGGTTCTCTTTTGACCCGTTTATAAGCAAAACTACACTGTTTTTCACGAATGTAGTTTCTATGTTTCTTCCACATACATTCAAATAATTAGTTATTTTAAGTTTGAGGTTCTCTTTTGCCCCATTTATAAGTAAAACATGCAGAGGAAAATAGCGTAAACAGAAGAAGCATACACAGTTCGATACTTTTAACTCACATCCAGGTCAGGAACTTGTATTGGCTTGTCGGATATTGACTTTTTCCAGTGATATGCCACAAGCACTCAGGATCTTGAGAATTTTGTTAATTCTTCCATCAACCTTTAAACATTTGATTTCAACCATTTTAAGATGGTCAGATGAAAATGTTCCTTCCAACAAATTGTTATCTCCTTCTGTCACCATTGAAGAATCAAATTCCTAGACAGACAAATCATACTGAGTCAAACAGCCATGTGACGTAATTTTGGTAACACACAGCTATCCATCCACAAAAGATATACCTCAGCAAATTTAAGAGTAACCTTCTCAAGATTTGGCGAGTGTTGGATAAAATGAATCACAGCACTGAGGTCAGCATGCAAACACCAGTCGTTGAGTATCAAAGTCTTTAACATGGGAAATGTCGGGCGGCACTTCAAATCTCTTTGAAAAATGAACTACACAACATGCAAATAATCGAGATCGAGTAAGCCGGCTGGTTCCTTTATGTACAGAATGAGACCAATCATTTCGGTAGAGAACTAGAGATTGAAATTTCCATAGTAACTAGAAGCAAATAATGGAAAAGATTTGTAGCATGTATATATTTTGTGTGTCAAAAAATTTCTATATATTTGTCATAGTAAAGGTACCATTTTGGAATTAGTATAAGTTAATGACAATTATCAAATTACAAAAAGATCAGATCATGAGGGGATTCCTGAACCAGTTTCGAGTAACTACATAGATTGAAGACAATGAATGTGACTGCACTAAAATTGACTGAATTATGATGTTGGTTGATAATTTCTGGTACGGAAATAAGTATGACAGTTTGAGAGCATAAACTGGGTACATGCACGTTAGTTGATGGTATGGTTCTTGATATAACATAAGAAGACAAAATAAAGGGGTTGCAAGCATACATACCGCATCATTATAGGAAGCTAACAACTCTAGGTGTTTGGCTCGAGACAAACCCTGGAAGAAGTAGCTACTTCCGCGTTGAGCAATGAACTCAAAATGAAAATGACAACCAAAGCATGGATCATCATCAAGACAGCCTGACACAGGACACCGATCCTCAGAAAACTCCCCAAGATCAACAACCGCCGTTTCCAATGATGGCAAGCTTTCAAGTAATGGAAGTCTACCAGCACAATTAATTAATTCCAAGCGAACAAGATTCGGTAAGGTTACTTGAGTACGATGCCACATGGAGAGTTCACAGCAGACCATACTCAGCTGTCGCAAGGATGGAGACAACATTTCAGCAGCATGTGTGACGCACTGCTCCATCTTAAGGTCCACTAGCACTGGACAGCCCGAGAAATCAAGAGCGCAGCGGATGCAATGGAGCTCTAGCCTAGTGAGGTGCTGGGAGAGTAGAGGCTCTGGATATTCAGATAGTTGCTCGGGAAGCATGCGGAAGTTGGGGTTGGTGTCCGTGAAACTGCACCGAAGGACCCGGACATTGCAGTCTAAAGCAGACTGCAGGCTCCAGCGATACACATGCTGAAAGGACGAGATGGAGTTGAAACCGAACTCCCTGTCGTCCAGATCGAACTCACATGACTCCAGTGGGCAGTCTGAGTGGCGACGGAGGAAGAGCAGGCGGTCTACGAACTGATTGAACTTATCGGCGCTCCCGAAGTCCCCGACGGCGGTGATGCGGAGACCGGGCGCAGATGTCCAAAAGTGGCGCCAGCGTGGGGAGAGCACGCACGTCCGCACCGCCTCGTGCGCCGGCAGGAACGAGATGACGATGGGAAGGACGTCGTCCATCTCCGCCGCGGACGGTGCTTCGCTGTTCTTGAGCTGCTTCCTAGGGGAGCATTCCGTCGAGCAGGTGGGGTGCGTCCTCGCTACAGAGCACGGACAGCCAAGGGAAAAGGTTGAGATAAGTGGAAGGCCGGAAGATGGAGGTGCCGGAGAGCGAGGTAGTCAGACAGGAGAGGAAGGGAGGAGCCGCTCACCTGCGTCGCGTTAGTCTTCGCCGGTTCGCTCGCCGGAGGTTGGCAGACTAGAACCGCGACGGGGTCCTCGGGTCCGTCGGAGAGAGGAAGGAGTGTGTGAATGACGAGGCGAATGGATGGGCTGTAGGCCGATGTTACTCTGCGTTGGGCTAGCCAAAGATTTGCCGGCATTCTGAGTATACCTGGCCAAACGGGCCGGCCCGGCACGGCACGGCCCGGCCCATCGTAATCGTGCCTGGCCCGGCACGGCCCGCCAGGGCACGATTATTATACGGGCCGTGCCGTGCCGGCCCGTGTGCTGCGCCCCAGGCCCAGGCCCGGCCCAGTTAGTAAACGGGCCGGCACGTTGGCCCGTTTAGCACGGTGGGCCGCATATTTTCAGCCTGTTATTTGATGCACTGAGTGTTTTTTAGCCTATTTTTATATATTGGGCCATATATAGATGTATAAAAAAATAAAAAAAACATAATCGGGTCGTGCCGTGTCGGCCCGCGTGCCCAGCCTCCAGGCCCAGGCACGGCCCAGGGCGTGCCGCGTGCCGGGCCCGGCCCGTTTAGCCCGTGTCGTGCCTGGCCCAAGACGGGCCGTGCCGCGCGTGCTCACGGGCCGACCCGAAAAAAAGGCCCATTTGGCCAGCTATAATTCTGAGGCTGTTTTCTCCACACACACACACACACACATACAAAGAGGTAGTTCTTCTAAAAAAGGTGGTAGTTTTTTTTAAGTTTTTATTGCTTTTTAATCCATCTTTTTTTTCTAAAAATGTGATGCCAGGTTTTAAGCATAGCAAATTGAATGTTTTTATGGCACATTTAGTTGGCATAAGGTGTTGAAAATATTAGCACCTTTTCTATTAATTCATAAGGTGTTGGCAAAAGGTTGAGATAAGTGGAACCGTGGAAGGCCGGAAGATGGAGGTGTCGCAGAGTCAGACAGAAGAGGAATGGAGGAGTCGGTCACCTACGTCACGTTGGTCGTCGCCGGTTCACTCGCCGGGGTATGGCAGACGAGAAAGGCGACAAGGTGCTCTGGTTCGTTGTTGGAAATATGCCCTAGAGGCAATAATAAAATGGTTATTATTGTATTTCCTTGTTCATGATAATTGTCTATTATTCATGTTATAATTGTATTGACCGGAAACCGCAATACATGTGTGAATACATGATACATCTCCAACGTATCTATAATTTTTGATTGCTCCATGCTACTTTATCTACTGTTTTAGGCCATATTAGGCTTTATTATCCACTTTTATATTATTTTTAGGACTAACCTATTAACCGAAGGCCCAGCCCAGATTTGTTGTTTTATGCCTATTTCAGTGTTTCGAGGAAAAGGAATATCAGACGGAGTCAAAACGGAACGGAATCAACTGGAGAAGTTAATTTTAGAAGGAAACCAACCTGATGGGCTTGGAGTGCACGTCAGGGGAGTCCCGGGCTGCCCACGAGGGTGGGGGCGCCCCCCCTGGGTGCGCCCCCTACCTCGTGAGCAACCCGGAGGTCCACCGACGTACCCCCTGCACCCATATATACCTACGTACCCTAAAACTTCTAGAACAGAAGATAGATCGGGAGTTCCGCCGCCGCAAGCTTCTGTAGCCACCAAAAACCAATCGGGACCCTGTTCCGGCACCCTGCCGGAGGGGGATCCCATCACTGGAGGCCATCTTCATCATCCCGGTGCTATCCATGACGAGGAGGGAGTAGTTCACCCTCGGGGCTGAGGGTATGTACCAGTAGCTATGTGTTTGATCTCTCTCTCTCTCGTGTTCTCTCTCGTGTTCTTTTATGGCACGATCTTGATGTATCCCGAGCTTTGCTATTGTAGTTGGATATTATGATGTTTCTCCCCCTCTACTCTCTTGTGATGAATTGAGTTTCCCCTTTGAAGTTATCTTATCGGATTGAGTCTTTTTATGAACACTAGATGTATGTCTTGCCGTGATTATCTGTGGTGACAATGGGATATCATGTGCCACTTGATGTATGTTTTGGTGACCAACTTGCTGGTTCCATCCATGAACCAATTGCCTAGGGGTTGGCACACGTTCTTGACTCTCTGGTAGTAGCTTTGGGGCACTCTTTGAAGTACTTTTATGTTGGTTGGATGAATCTGAGATTGTGTGATGCATATCGTATAATCATACCCACGGGTACTTGAGGTGACAATGGAGTATCTAGGTGACATTAGGGTTTTGGTTGATTTGTATCTTAAGGTGTTATTCTAGTACGAACTCTTTTATAGATCGATCCGAATAACTTTGTGGTGGTTTCGTACCCGACCATAATCTCTACGTTTGTTCTCCGCTATTAGTGGCTTTGGAGTGACTCTTTGTTGCATGTTGAGGGCTTGTCATATGTTCTATCTATGTTATTATTGTTGAGAGAACTTACACTAGTGAAAGTATGAACCCTAGGCCTTGTTTCCTACCATTGCAATACCGTTTACGCTCACTTTTACCACTTGTTACCTTGCTGTTTTTATTATTTCAGATTACAACAACCTATATCTACTATCTATTTTGCACTTGTATCACCATCTCTTCGCCGAACTAGTGCACCTATACAATTTGCCATTGTATTGGATGTGTTGGGGACATAAGAGACTCTTTGTTATTTGGTTGCAGGGTTACTTGAGAGAGACCATCTTCATCCTACGCCTCCTACGGATTGATAAACCTTAGGTCATCCACTTGAGGGAAATTTGCTACTGTCCTACAAACCTGTGCACTTGCAGGCCCAACAACGTCTACAAGAAGAAGGTTGTGTAGTAGACATCAATACATAGACCACAACATGTCCCTAGTGAGCCTCTAGTTGACTAGCTCGTTGATCAACAGATGGTCATGGTTTCCTGACCATGGACATTGGATGTCATTGATAACGGGATCACATCATTAGGAGAATGATGTGATGGACAAGACCCAATCCTAAGCATAGCACAAGATCGTGTAGTTCATTTGCTAAAGCTTTTCTAATCTCAAGTATCATTTCCTTAGACCATGAGATTGTGCAACTCCCGGATACCGTAGGAATGCTTTGGGTGTACCAAACGTCACAACGTAACTGGGTGGCTATAAAGGTGCACTACAGGTATCTCCGAAAGTGTCTGTTGGGTTGGCACGAATCGAGACTGGGATTTGTCACTCCGTATGATGGAGAGGTATCTCTGGGCCCACTCGGTAATGCATCATCATAATGAGCTTAATGTGACTAAGTAGTTAGTCACGGGATCATGCATTACGGAACGAGTAAAGTGACTTGCCTGTAATGAGACTGAACGAGGTATTGGGATACCGATGATCGAATCTCTAGCAAGTAACATACCGATTGACAAAGGGAATTGCATACGGGATTGCTTGAATCCTTGACATCGTGCTTCATCCGATGAGATCATCGTGGAACATGTGGGAGCCAACATGGGTATCCAGATCCCGTTGTTGGTTATTGACCGGAGAACGTCTCGATCATGTCTGCATGGTTCCCGAACCCATAGGGTCTACACACTTAAGGTTCGGTGACGCTAGAGTTGTTATGGGAAATAGTATGTGGTTACCGAAGGTTGTTCGGAGTCCCGGATGAGATCCCGGACATGACGAGTAGCTCTGGAATGGTCCGGAGGTGAAGATCGGTATATTGGACGAAGGGTATTGGAGTCCGGAATTGTTCCGGGGGTACCAGGTGATGACCAGCGTGTCCGAAAGGGGTTTCGGAGGCCCCGACAAGCGTTGGGGGGCCTTATGGGCCAAGGGGAGAGGGCACATCATCCCACTAAGGGGCTGGGCGCCCCTCCCACCCCATCTCACGTAACCAGGAGAGGTGGGGGCGCCACCCCTAGGGCAGCCGCCCCTCCCGGCTTTGGGGGCAAGTTTCCTAGGGGGTGGGGGCGCCCAAACCCATCTAGGGTTTCCCCTGTGGCCGCCGCACCTCCCCTAGGGAACCCTAGGGCACCTCCCCTCCTCCCTTCCCCCTATATATAGTGAGGGAGAGAGAGGGCAGCCGCACCCTTCCCCTGGCGCAGCCCTCTCCCTCCTCCAACACCTCCTCCTCCTCCGTAGTGCTTGACGAAGCCCTGCCGGAGAACCACGAGCTCCATCACCACCATGCCGTCGTGCTGTCGGATTTTTCCCTCAACTTATCCTCTCCCCTTGCTGGATCAATAAGGAGGAGACGTCCCCAGGATGTATGTGTGTTGAACGCGGAGGCACCGTTGTTCGGTGCTTAGATCGGATTCGGCCGCGATCTGAATCGCTTCGTGAATGACTCCACCGACAGCGTTCTTGTAACGCTTCTGCTTAGCGATCTTCAAGGATATGAAGATGCACTCCCTCTCTTTCTTGTTGCTAGTCTCTCCATATATTGATCTTGGTGTTGCGTAGAAAATTTTGAATTTTTGCTACGTTCCCCAACAGTGGCATCATGAGCTAGGTCTATGAGTAGTTTCTATGCACGAGTAGAACACAAGTTGTTGTGGGCGTTGATTTTGTTCAATATGCTTATCGTTACTAGTCCTATCTTGTTTTGACGGTATTGTGGGATGAAGCGGCCCGGACCAACCTTACACGTACACTTATGTGAGACAGGTTCCACCGACTGACATGCACTTGTTGCATAAGGTGGCTAGCGGGTGTCTGTCTTTCCCACTTTAGTCAGACCGGATTCGATGAAAAGGGTCCTTATGAAGGGTAAATAGCAATTGGCATATCACGTTGTGGTTTTGGCGTAGGTAAGAAGCATTCTTGCTAGAAACCTATAGCAGCCACGTAAAAACTTGCAACAACAATTAGAGGACGTCTAACTTGTTTTT